CTTCCGATCTTATATATAGAGGAGTCGTATACCATTCAACTTCATATCTATATGCAATAACAACACAAAAAATCAATAATTTAAAAAAATTTTGTATATTATAGTTTCGTATATACATATAGTTATTGTGTGTATTATATTTACATCCATCTTTATTATTAGAGTTCATAAAACTATAAGAGATGACTGAATAATATGTAATAAACCATATTTCTTACGCAGTAACAAATAGAAGATTATAGTGATCTGTAATGTTTTGTCCGCTTAAGTTGGCTAAGAACATGTATACAAAACAAACACATATTATTACAAAAGCTATTGGAAGTTCCACTGTCTTATAATTAAAGGATAAAATCTGCAAAAACTAATAAAGAAGTTTTAGTGTATGTGTGTATGTAGAAATTAATTTTAAAATTACAACTTAAATTAGATAATTTACAATTTACTATAAAATATAGAATTTTTAACTACATTTACAAAAAAAATATTGTTCTATAAATATTAAATTTGTTAAGTTTGAGAATCTTATACAATTTTATATTTATTGTTATTGCATTATATTGTATTATATTATATGTAATCATAAATCCTTTAAAAAATTTAATATCATCTGTTTCCTTAAATGAATATATATTGAATATTATTGTGTGTGTGTGTGTATGTGTGTGTGTCAAGACAGTGTTTCATATAACTATTAAGGAAATATGATTTATAATATAATAAATACATAACAGTGTATTAAAAGTAAATTTACAAACAAAACTTACTCGAAAAACGTTAAGACTTAAAACAATTACTCCGAGCATTATTAAAGACATGAATAATAATTCAAATTTAGTTATTAGATAATCGGATAACCTTTAAAAAAAATGGATTGTTAATGCACATATTATAAAGATATTATAAAATATAGATACTAACATTATTGCTTTTCGATGAATATTTACACCATGAATAAGACCCTTGTAAGCCAACTTCTTATTTTTCATATTAATATTTTGTATACACTTCTCTATCGTGTTCTTGATACGATAACTGTAAATTTAGATATTATAATTATACGAGAATTTAGGAATATTTATAGTATCTTATGAGGTGAGCAAAAATTTGAAATTGATGTGTCATAATTTTAGAACAAGTTATATATATATAACATATACATATATTCTATAAACATTTACATAGTTTTTTATTTACTAAATAAAAATATTTGTTATGTTATATAGCACGTTCATCATCTTATACAATGGAGAAATGGGAAATTAGTATTAACAGAACAAAGTTCGAAAATAATATCTTTTTCTTTCATTGAGTCTAGATCTGAATATATTTTTAAGAATTTTGTTTTCAAAACGACTAATATAATTGTATGACCATTTTATTGCACGCTACTGTACACATATACATGTATTGTGCATAAGCTTCATCATTTCAATAAATCTGTTTTATAAAAAATTTATATATCTATATATATCTTTATATATATAAAGTAAATCTTTGAATTTAAAATTTTTAAATTCGAAAAACAGAATTTTTTTGATTATTTTAATATTTATTGTTTTTACCTAGCAATTTTGAACATTCCGCAGACATGTTGAAGATATGCCATAATCATTGCTCCTGTTGCTGTTAATACGGTAATTGCTATAAATAAAGCTGCACTTATATGGAATAGTATTACGTAATAATATTTTTCTTGATCAATAAAGTATTCAATTGAGATATCCAATTGATGTAATTGAGACTCGTTTATATAGAAAATTCTGCTCTTAAAATATGGCATTTGAATGATAATGACAAATACACTACAAAATGGAAACGCTAAAAAACATAATAAAAAATTAATCATGGAAGTTTTTTTTAGCATTGTAAGATTTTTTATTTAAGTTACGTATCGTATATCTACCCGACATTTAATATTCCTTTTTTTTCTCAATATTTGACGATTAAAAAATTTTTTTATTATTTTATATTTTATGCTTTTAACACTTAAATTAATTTTTTATTTAATACATATATGAAAAACTTACAAATTTATAATATTTATGTATTGTTATTGTATTTATATATAAAAAATAAAAGGATTTTCTATATACGCAATTATTTGACATTAGAATAGGATCGAATATCATTAGCACCTAAAAAAAATGTTCTGATATTTCTTACATATTGAAGAATAAAAAATCTTATTCCTATCATTTGATAAGTTTGATGGTGTTTTTATATATTTTAATATTAAAATTAATTATTTTAATACAACTAATCAAATAAGGGGTGCTTCTATTACCCGCTTAGTGCTCATATTACCCGTTGGATAGGATAATATGAGCATTTTTAATATAAACACAGGAAAAAAAAAATTTTAGAAATTAAAGATAATATTTAAAACATTTTATTAGAATAAACACTTAATAGTTCAATAGACAATAAAATACATTTTACTTGAACAATATTGAAATATTCTAATAAAATAAACATTTTAAATATATGTAATTATCTTGTTATTATGAAACGGTAAATCTTGAAAGAAAAAGGCATAATATTTA